CAGTGTGCGGTTCGGTTTTACCGTCAAGCGAGCCCCGCTTATTAATGATTTTAATAGCTTTTAAATAAAGTGAGCCGCTGCACTTTCCCGCGGCTGCTTCTATGAGGAAAACTTGTATGTGATTTGTGCAGTTTGAGTAAACTTTTCAGAGTGTTAAATTGTGCTTGAGCCCAGTGAATGGCCTCTAAAGGAAATTATTCATGGTATACAGCTACTGTTGCTCAGACGTTTCAAATAATTATATATATTCTGTTGTATAAAGTTGTGATTGCTAAAATACATGTAGTGAAGCAATAAACAGTTTATTGGTCTGTATCAAATATTAACAGAAATTTTGTTCAGCGCAATATCAAATTCACGCATCCCTGAGCGCCGTTAAAAGCAGTGGCAGGAATGGTTTATTGTTTTGTTTCTCTTGTGGACTTCATTAATTTACTGGGAATTTCTTTTCTCTGCAATGCCATCCGTGGAAGGGTCCCTCCCCTTCTCCCCCAGTTTATTGAGAAAGCATGTTTGAATTTCTTCATGCTATCCACATCTGTGGGTATTAGGGCAATCTGGTCCACAAAAGATGGCATACATTTAAACTTAGTAAATCTGTGTCTAAAGTAATGCTTCTTAGATAGTTTCATACATTTAGCATTGCATTGTTTTGTTACTTGTTGCTTCAGACAGGATAAATTCTGTCTCATCATCCCTTTTTACTTGGGGAAACTGTTTCCATTTCTTAATAAAGCTGAATTTTAATTTCTGCTTTGAAATTGAAGGCATCGTGTGCCCTCAGATGTAGCACAAGCAAGTAGGAAAGAGTTGCAGTACAAATGCCTTGAAAATAATCAGTACTCATAGCTTTGGAGACATTCCAGAAACTTTTTAAGCATGTTTTGAAAATTTACTTGAAATGGTACAGCAGCTGATAACTTAATTGTTCTAACTTAATTTAAAAAAAAATCTAAATTTATGTTGTAAAATTGAATTGTGTAGTTACAGAGTCAAACTGTCCATGTAATTCTTGTGCCTCTTCTACTCACCCGCCAACAGGTCAAAACATTTGGCTAAATAACAAGTGGTGTATGCTTTTGGTTTTACACTCATTGATTTGTTTTGCTTTACTTTGCTTAGCCCACTCCCCTCAGCTCATTTTCTTTTAAAATTGTACGTGGAGACTCGATTCCCATGACTCGCTAATCTTATCACCATTATTTGGTTGAAATTTTTTGAAACGGGTTCCTGTTTCAAATACCTCACAACATTGGCAGCCTTAGGTTCCATTAGAAAAGCTTCATTAGGGAGAAATAAAAATGTTGTTGATAACTCCCCCTCCAACAATAAGCCCCATATTCAACTCCACGGTGTGTGCGGATATGCCTTGAATTATAAGAAGGAATTAAACTCAGGTATTCACACAAAGAACTTGATCTCAGAATATCACTTAAAGAGTCTCATGCATAGCTGGTTAATATGCTTTTTTCCCCTGCAAATTTAATAATTTAGCTATTAATCCTGCAAATATTATGCATGTTTAACTTTAAGCCTGCGAGGTGTTGGGCTGAATTCTGCGTGGCTGTGTTTGTGTGTCAGTGTGTGTGTGCACACACTGCTGACAAAGAAAACAATTAGAGACGTTACTAATTTTCTGCTGTCTTCCCAACTGTTATTTATGATGTGTAGTAGTACAAGAGCTATTCTGAAATCAGCTATAATTCTCTTCAGTGAGATTTGTTTCTTCTGTGCCAAATTTTGCAGTAACCAGATGGTCTTAAGGTGTCTTCAGCCGGAGAACAAGCATGAGCAGTGCTGAAGACTAATTATTCCTTGCAGTAAATTCCTTCTGCAATAAATCCACAGGTTGTTAGACCTAATCTGTGGAAATGATTGTTAAGATTGCTTATGCAGTGAAAAATGCTTTTATAAATCTGTGAAAACTAGCAGAAGTTCTTAGAATGCCAAGAAAATATTTTTGAGTTAATTTTGCCTGGCTGGGGTAACTTTTATTTGGGACAAACTGTTAAATGAAGTTGCAAATTCAAATCCTTTTCATAAGCCATGGAACACTGCAGTTTTAATATGAATATTTTGAATGTATCCTGTAAGTGGAGGGGTCATTTGGTAGATGATGTAGAGAAGGAAATTTCATGCTGCCGTTCCGGGTGTATCGTTAGTTTCATTGTACCTGTGTATTTTTCACAGCAGTAGCATTGTATATTTCAGTAGTGCATGGAGGAGCATCCTGGATTAACAACCAGGTTATTTTCATTAAATTTCACATTGTACTGCACATGACAGGAAAATAGTTAGGAACAAAAAAATATATTCAGTTATAAGCAATGGCATATATTAAGTAAAGCCATTCAGGCTTAAATACGTCCTCCTTTTTGGTGGCTTAATTTAGTTAAAAATACAAGATTTTTTTTTTTTTTGGTATATGTCTATTAAAAAATGTAAGTACTCAAACCCCTTGGCATTTCCTCACTTTGATATGAATAGGGAGAACTTGCCAAATCTCTTTCCCTTCCTTTTCTGCTGAAAATCCTGGTTGAGACTGTTCATTAAGAGATCCCATCAGAAAACAATTGTTTTGTGGCAGTCAAATTCTTAAAACAATACTTCATCTTTATTTGCAGATCTTAACTCAAGTAATGATGTTTAACAAACACCTTGTTTTAATCAGGTGAGGATAAGCCCTTCAATTAGGATGCAAATAATTGCTCCTCTTGGTTGGGTCATTTGGGGCCTGGAGGTGTTGCCATTTGCAGGTAGATTTGGTGCTACCCAAGGTTTGAAGCAGGAGAGAGGAGAAATCTGGAATAAGAATTTAAGTCTTTTGCAAAATATTTTTTTATTCCAGCATTCAAAACCCGATCCAGCTCCCTTCTTTGTCAGGCTGTTCAGCTGATCTTGATTTACTGCTGCAAGAGGTGTGAGAGGAAAATTGGATCCAAAATAATGTTCACTGCAGAGATGGTTCCAGTGAGTGTGTCACAGAGTGAATAATTAAAAATAGTCAAACCTCTTTTCACTCAGTCTTTCTGCTTGTGCTTTAATTATATATTTTAATTATTTCAAAGATGTGTAAAATGAGATGAGAAAGATTACATGGGCATAATCCTTCCCATTTAAAATTATTTGTCTGCAGCTGCCTAAGTCCTGGCATTAGGAGTCACATACAAACATGTTTATTTAACATCAGCGTTATCTGTTAGATTGTACATGGTTCATTAACATGGAGAGAATAGTTTTTGTTTAATAGTGTGTGGGAGCTGCCAGAGGTCAGGAGGGGTTGTTTGCCTGGAGTCGAGATGGCATCTTGGCTTTGCTCTCCTCCTGTTTGTCACCTCTGCTGTGCCCGGAAAACGCTTCCTTAGTGCCGTGCTGAGCTGTCTTCCCTGGTGCTGAGAGGCTCTGTGCAAAGCCAGACGTCTGCTGCAGGGTTGTGGTAAGGTTTATGGGGAGTTTCAAGGGAGGTTTGCTGTAATTTGTGGGGGATCGTTGTAGTTGGGGTTCAATTAGAAAAAGCAGCTTGGGAAGGATGGAGCGGGAGGGGACAGAGGAGCCTGAGGTATTGTTGTGGTGCCCACAGAGTGTGTGGCTGTGATGGAAGGATTTTACAGATTTGGGGTGATGGCTTGGGAAATTGAGAGTGCTTTGAGTGCCAGTGAATAAGGTTTTGTTGGTGTGGCTGGGTCAGAGCTGGAGTCAGACAGTACCTGGTGATGGTGCTGAGCTGCAAGAGGTGGCAGCACAGGATGGGACCCTTCTCTCTCCACAGAGCTTGTGGGGGGTTCTTCTCACTCTTTCTTCTGCTGGATTAGAAACGTGCTTGGACATCTAAAACCATATCAGGGACTCCAGAAATACAGAATTACCCATGGCCTCAAGTTTAAAGAGGTCAATTAAAGTGTTTTACTGTGACTTCTGTATATAAGGTAATAGCCACACACTGCACACAGTATTGGGAGAGAGATGTGCACACCCATCTCCATGCACGATTTTAATTTTAATTTTAATTTCAGCTTCTTGAAAATGTTTCTGAATGTTTCCTACAAGTCAGTGAATTTCTCCATCCTCATTTGGATGATGAGGGCTCTTTGGGCTTTTTGTGCCTTGGAGGGAGGTAATTTAAATTTCCATTATAAAAAGGTAGAAAATTGCCTTCTTTGATTTTTATCAAGCAAGGATCCCTGGTAGATAATAACCAAAAGGCGTAGAATAAAATGAGCATTATTGTAGAATTCAAAGTGCAGTGGAAGATGCAATGTGACTGAAGCATACCACAAATATGCAGTTTTTAAAAAGCATAACAGTAAAAATAGAAGGGCTGAAAAAAATAAGCTGAACTACTGTGTTGATTATAAGTTGTAGCTGAATCACTCTTAAGGCCTGGATATTGTTTTTAAAAAGCCAGCAAAACATCTATTTCTAAAAATAGTAGGTTGTTTCCTGAGGGGGGGGGGGAGAGAGAGAGAGCAAAAGTGTTATCTTGGAGGAGGGAATGTCTGGGGTAGGGTTTTTTTCCTTTGAATTATTTTCAACAAGTACTTACTCTGTTCTGTATTTTTAAGAAATTATGTGGACAGCAATTTTGTTGCTTTACCAAGGCAGTGAAAACACCAAGAATCCTTTTTATAATTTGGAAAGAATGTCAAAAGAATGAAGTAGTTAAACCTAAGTGTATTAGATCATACGCCTTAAATGCATAAATAAGCATAGCTGCAATCACAGAAACCAATGTTAAAACCACCAGGAAAACTCACCCACAAACCGTAATGACTTAGAGGGAATGACCTCAGCCATTGTGAAATTTGTGCCTATTTGTTGACTGACATTTATTTAGTAGAAGCAGGGTGCATGTTTTGTTGGGGTGTGGGATCTCGTTATTTGCAAGACTGCTGAGGTTTTTTTTTTTTGTTGTTGCTGCCAGGTTTGAATACAAAGAGTGAAAATGGGCTCGAGGCTGTGAGAGCCTGGATATGATTTGGGCCGTAGCAATTTGAAAAGCAGGTGAAGGGTTTGTTATTGATGCACAGAGAGTGGTGGAACTGAAGTTTGTTGTTCAGATGTTAGGAACTTCCTTGATGATAGCCCACTTCTAATTTATTCCCAGCTGGTTTTCTGTTAAGGAAATGAAGGTTTAAAGTATTTGGTTACAAACCTGAGATTTCTTCACGTCTGTGTCTTTGCGTGAGTGCTGCATGAAAAGCTGGTGTCATTCATCTCCCCTCTGTTTTTTTGGAGAGGAAATTGATGCATGGTAGAACCTCAACTTGCCTTTGCTGCAACACCACTTAATAATTCAGGGAAATGGAAGTCTTGAATTATTTTAACTAGAATAGACTTCTTCAGGAATGTTTTTACATAAAGCAGCATTACAGACTCCAAGCTCGATCAGAGCCATGTCTCTCTGCAAGCAGGATTTGTCTCTGCTGCCTGCTCCTGGCTGTGAGCTCCTATTTTTTATTGGTTGCAATAATCAAAGAAGTTCCAGTTTTAATCGTCCCTTCTTAGATGTGCAGAGAGGTTTGAGAAAATGGGTCAGTTTGTGCTGTTGGCTTGAACACCTAAGTCTAGATATTCGGTCTCGTTGTGCAGAAATTCTTGTTTGCCATCCCTGCTTTTGAGAAGGAAAGCAGCTCAGCTAAATAAATAATCCTAAATAAAGAAAATTATTTAATACTAGTCAGCCCAGATAGTAACTGGTCAACCCATGGAGAGTTGGTGCCTCTGTCTATGCTGGAAAGAACAGACTTGACAGAGAAACTCAACCAGAGCGGGATTTCCAGAGACAGGGGGACGTGGGGAATGTTCCTTAAACTCAGCAAATGCCTTAAAAACTGGACATGCCTCTAGGATTACTCAGGCACCCACAAGAAACAGTGAGGGGAAAGTGGGGCAGCATCTGAGATGTTTTTGTTTTTTAAATAGGTTGAGTAAGCAGAGCAGTCTGGGGGCCCCAGTTATTTACAGCTCTGTCTGTGCACCACGCAGAGAGCCTCATCAGCTGTCCTGAAGACAAGTTTTCCATCTATTGCAAATCGTGTCTTTTGATGACACATTTGATTTGGCTGTTTGCTGTGTAATTGTCCTACAGCTACTTTGGAAAGAACTTTGATCAGTTTTGAATATAGATCTGTATCACTAGTTTTGATTCCCCTTGTGACTGCTCCTCTGTGCTCAGTTACCATCCATATAGTTTAATTGCAACTATCTGACAATTCTTTGTTTCTAAGACAAGACAAAATGTATTTACAAACTACTTTATCCTCCATAAATGTTGACAGTGTGTACTTCATTTTTGTAAGCTATGTAAATTTATTATTTTTCCCCGCTACTGTGGGTGAAACAAGACAAAATCTTGTCTAAAATTGAGCAATACTTTTTATTTGAAAAAGAGAGATTGTTTTTTCCACCCCTTAACAAACTAAAAAGCACCATTTTTTCTGAAAGGCAACACTTTTTTAAGTAAAACATTATTGTTATTTTTTGTTGTATTTTTGTTATTTTTGCTGTATCCAAATTTTTCTTTTTATTCTTCTTTTGTATGCTGACTTTATTTTTGAATTTATAAACCTGTGTTTTTTGCTAGCTTACATTTGATAAGTGCTGTGTTGATACTACTCCTCTTCACTGAGACAGATTTAGGATTATGTCAGCCTTAATGCTTGTAGCAAAATACATAAATTTTATCCTTCCTTGTGTTCAACTGTGCATAAATGTGTTAGATCCAGTCGTGCTCTCACTGCAGTTCCCAATCATTTCACTTTAGGGTTGAACTTTATTGAGTGGGAGCAGTTTTAAACCTTCTGTACTCATTACAAAAGTGCATATTTAATTTTTTTTTCAATCCCATCATAACTGCTGCCAGTGCAAGTCCAGCTGACTTCTTCAGTGCCTGAGCTTTGCAGAACCAGATGGGAATCATCTTTCTGTGCTGTCCATGCTCAAATGCCTGTTTGCAAATCAGCAAAGTTTCCAGCAGCAGTTAAAAAAGATGGTAAATCTGAATTTGGTGGAGAGAGGGAAGTGCCACAGCCCTTTTGGTACCAGTGGTTGGAACCTCCTGTACCAAAAACTTGCAGTGATATGACTTAGCCCATGGTATCACATCTCTGACCTGGTACTCCTAAGTGTGTTGGTGGAGTTAGGTGTGCAGCAGGAAAATAAGGCAGACAACATTTATCATTTTATTTATTGAAATAAAATTATGAGATCATTATTCTGTGTAGCCTTGGTGGCTTGTTGTGTAAATACCTACATTAGAGGAATCTTGTTTTTAATAAAATTCATTTCTCTCTGAACAAGAGGCGAGCTTAGGTCTCTGATCAGAAATACATAATCATTCAGCAATGCTGTAAGTGTGTGTCACCCTGCACAAGGCAATGTAAGATTATGTTCTGTATAGCAAATTTCACAGACCTTTGCTGTCTTTCCCTCTTCAGCGTCTCTTCACCTGAAAACTCCTAAGTTGTGGTTTGAAGGAAGGCGTGTTCTGCCTATATATATGATATATATATGATTTCATATTGCTTGTTTGGCAGCCATCCTTCCTGTTCACTGCAGCAGATGAATATAATTTGGGGAGAACTAGATGGGGAGGGGGCTGAGGAAGCCAAGTGAGTCTGCTGTAAAAATATTTGAGATGCAGCAAAACCTTCTGGGCTAGATTAGTTTTGAAACACCATTTAGGCCCCCCGATAATTAGGGGTGGGGTGTGGAGACAAATGCTTGGTTTGTAATTGAATGTAATAAAGGAAGACAAATCTTGGTTTCTAATTGAGTGTAATAAAGGATGCTGCTTCTCAGAGTCAGAGGTGTTGATGCTGGAGCTTGATGCTTTCCCTCTTAAAGCCCAGGGCTTCTCCTTGCCCCAGCCCCCTGCCACAAATCAGGATTATTCACTGCCAGCAGTGGTTTAACCATATCTGTGGTGGGGCAGGGTGGTTCCTGAGTGATGCACAGGAGCACTGTGCCCTGGTTGAGGACGGGAAGTGGAAAATGAATATTGTTTTGAACTTGAACCCTGAGAGCAGACAGAAGGTAATTATTGGAGCTGGAACTCCCCCGGGAGAAGCGGAGGAGTGATGCTCTGCGCTTGTAAGGAACACTGTGGGATCTTAAATATCTCGTAGCGTTTAACGCTTTGGTTTTACATTTCTGCTTTTTAATTGATCTTCTGCTCTTCTCTTTTCTTGGCAAATAGAGGAAGAAACAATTGGATGTAGACTTAATGTGCTGTATTTATTGATAGACACACTTCAGCCCTCCTTTTGCTGGTGGGGCAGGACTCTTTAAATTTCAGTCTTGGTGTTATTTTCTGTTGTAAAATTAACTCCTTTGCTGCTGGCTTACTTAGTGGACCTATTATAGTTTGAAAAATTAATTAATTGATGATTAAAAGCATATAAATGTATATGAAGCCATTTAATCAGAAGCTGTAAG